TTTCGTGTTTTCTTTTCGATTGCTGGGTTTCCATCGAGACGCGTGTGGTTTTGTTCGGCTGTTGTACTGGTTTTCGTTTGTTTTTTAGATTTTCTGATTTTTTTGTTTTCTTTGTTTCTTCACCGGGTTTCTTCTTTTATTTCTCGGTTTTCACTTTTTTTTTCCTTTTTCCCACTGATTTCTTTGTTTCTTTCTCGGTTTTCATCAGCTTTTTTCTTTCTTTCTTTGGCTTTCTTTTTTGTTTTTCTATCGGTTTTCGTTAGTTTTCCTTTTTAACACATGTCTAAATTTTTACTACACAAAATACCTTTTTAGTGTACACATGAAACATTTTTTTAATACACGTTGTACATTCTTCAAATACATCATGTACATTTTCTTAATATATTGTTTTGAAAACATTTACGAATACATGCTCAATATTTTTCTAATACACATTGAGTTATTATTGGGATAAACATTTTTTAAACGTTTTTAGAAATTTCACGGCCATTTCTAGGAAGCACCTGAATATTTCTTTAAAGTTCATGTACATTTTTTTTACTGAAATAAGCCTTTTTTAACCTACGCAAACCGTTTATTGCATTGTATAAGCATTTTTTGTGTAGACGTTGAACACTTCAAATACATGATTAATATTTTTGATGTCAAAATTTTTCAATACATATTCTAAATTTTCCATATACACCAGTAAAAAAATTATATGCATGTTTAACATTTGTGCATATACATCATTAACATTTATAAAAACTTCTATTTCTTTATGACTGTTTTTCCATACAGATTTTACATATTTTGTATACCAGGATTATTTTTATGTACACATTTTAAATATTTCAAATATAAGATTAATATTTTTTTAACATATATTTTTTGATGTCTACCTTTGTCCATACACATTGTACATTTTTTGTATACATCTGAAAAAAATTTATATACATGATTAATTTTTTTCAAGATTTATGTTTTGATATCTACCTTTTTAATACACATTGTACAATTTTTGTAGAGATTACAAACATTTTTCTACACACGCTTAACATTTCTCAAATTTATATGCCAAATTTATTTCCATAATAGATATTTTTTTGGATAGTTAGAAAATAAGAAAGATAAAAACATTAAAGCAAAAAATGAAAGCAAACATGTGAAAAGTATATATATGAAAAAGAGCGCTGAAGGCCTGTGGTCCGCACTGGCCGACCCATTCTGATGGCTGCTTGAGGCGAGCCGTGTTACTGTCTCGCGTCAACGAAGACAGTGGGTACTATATCTTGCTTGTAGCGAGGGATAGTTCCGTCTGGCCTAAAACTTTGGCTCACCCCTGTTGTAGCTGGGCCGGCCTGTTTGTTTTTATTATCGGTAATTTTTATTTTCGCCACTCTAACTTTTGCCTATTTTCCTTTTTTTTGCGAGAAAACTTCTGATCTATTCATCGTCAATCATGGTAGTACAACGAACACCGGAAATAAAAAAAATTACATCCAGATTCATGGACCACCTAGCGACGACTACAAGCACTGAAGTGAGCCGAAGGCGCGCCGCCGTCATCGCCCCTCCCTCGCTGGAGCCGGGCAAAACTTGTTTTAGTAGACAGTCGGGAAGTCGTCATGCTAAGGCCCCATATGACCATCGCACCTGAATAGCAATCGCCGTTATGAAGAGTAACGTAGATCGGAAGGATCCAATCTGAAAACACACGAACGTAGACGAACAACCAAATCCGAGCAGATCCACACAAGATAGATCTGCCGGAGACACACCTCCACACGCCCACTAAAGATGCTAGACACACCATCGAGATGGGGGCTAGGTGGGGAGGACCTTATTCCATCTTCAGAGAGCCGCCGCCATCTCGTCTTCCTGAGTAGGCTCGGCTGGGGCTTCTGGCTTTTGATGGTAGGCTTAGGTGAGTGGTCTGGGTATTTGGCCCAGCTAGCACCCATTCATCATATGGATAGGAGTAGTGTCATATGTTGCCAAGATGGTGGATTCAGGCATATTGTTGTAATACTTTATAAGGTCCTCGAGAATAATCAATAAAGTGGCCGCATGCATCTCCCAGATGAGAGGTCGGGGGTCATCCTCCTTTTCTAAAAAAAAACTCGTCTTCCTGAGCAGGATACAAACCCTAACAAAACTCAAAGAACCATATAAAAATGGAGCCCTCCCGTCGGCAAGGGCCGGGATCCACCGCGCTCCCATGGACCTAAGGCCATAGGAGACGAGGCGGGGACCGACGGCAACGCCGGCGGGAGGCAGAGAAACCCTAATGTTTCTTAGAGAGGAGGACAGGAGGAGGCCCGACAGTTTGCCTATTTTTCTTATGCCACTCTAGCTTTTGAAATTTCACTTCTCCCACTCTTAGCTTTTGGCAATTATCACAATTGCCATTCCGGCATAAATAAAAAAATTAAAGTGGCAATTGTGATACATTGTCAAAAGTTAAGAGTGGCAAAAATGAAACAAAATTATTTTTCTTTTGCCACGGAATGATAATTGTGATAATTGTCAAAAGCTAAGAGTGGCAAAACTGAAACAAAATTATTTTGATTTTACCACGTGATGGCAATTTTTATAATTGTCAAGAGCTAAGACTCGCAAATGTGAAATGTCAAAAATCTAGTGACATAAGGAAAATTGGCAAAAACAAGAGTGGCAAAAAAACAAATTACCCCCCTTTTTCTATAGCACGCTGGCGTTGTATTGGGCGCTGCACATAACTGTTTTTTGGTCCCTTTTTTCGTTTGATGATGAAAAAGTTTGGTCAATTTTTTGTTTTTTATGTTTCCTTTTGTTTTTATTTGTTCCTTCATTGATTTTTTAGTTTCACCTTTTCTTATTTTCTTCTTTTTCATTCGGTTTTCACTGGTTTTTTCTTCTTTTTATTGGTTTACATTGTTTTTATTTTTATTTTATTTTCTTCCTTCAATTTTTATATATTTCTCTCTTGGTTTCATCGGCTTTCTTCATCTTTTGATTCTTTCCGCTCTTGGATTTTTCTGTTCCATTCTTTTTCTTTGGGTTTCTTTGGTTTTCATTTTTTGGGGTTTCTTGCTTTTCTTTGCTTTTGTAAATTTTCTGTGGTTTCCACGCATGTCAACTTTTTCAGTACATATTCAATATTTTTTGTATACATCAGAAACTTTTTTATATACACATTTAATTTTTTTAAATACATGATTCTTTTGTCGAACACTTATATTTCTATGTCTATTTTTTTCCATACACATTATACATTTTGGGTATATATCTAATACATATTTGTAATACCGGTTTAAGTTTTTTCATATATAAGATTAACATTTTATAAAGACATGTCAACATCTTTTTTTGTACATATTTAACATTTTTTTAAATGACTGATTAATATTTTGAAAGTACATTATTAACATTTTTTGATACATGGTGACCATTTTTTAGACACATTTAATATTTTTTGAATTCTTGATTATCATTTCTAAATACAAGATTAACATTTTTTAATACATGGTCAACATTTATCTATACACATTTAAAATTTTCAAATGCTTGATTATAAATTTTCAATACAAGATTAACATTTTATAAAATGCTTTGATTAACATATTTTAGTAAATAATCAAAAAATTTCACACATGTTTGTATATTTTTTGTATACATTTTTAATATACTCCCTCCCTTTCAAAATATAAGCCATTTTAAAGATTTCAATAAGTACAACATACGGATGTATATAAACATATTTTAGTCCATATTGAAATCTTTAAAATGACCTATATTTAGAAACGAAGGGAATACATGAGAAACATTTCATCTATACTTATTTAATAGTTTTCAAACGCTTGGTTAACATTTTCTATAAAAGTTTTATGTAAAGTGGTTTTTTGTAATATATTTATTTAGAATATTTGGAAGTATAAATAAAGTAAAAATAACAAGAAATAAAAAACGAGGCTCCGGCGCAACTGCCGCTGCCCTAGGCGCATAGGGACGCCCCAAGCAAGACAAGCTCGCGCCCATTTCCCTCGGGGATTTGGGTATGGTGGCCTTGGTTGGAGTGTAAGGACCCGTCCTGGGTTATGGGCGGGCCTTCATGTACGCATATACAGGAATATGTCAAGGAGTCCTAACAGAAACGCACATGATACTCTTGAGAGATTCTAAAAGAAAACATGATACTCTCAAGAGTGCACATATATTGCTAATATATTTATATTATTTTCACTTGCAAAATTGTGTACTCTTTTGTTTCTTCATATAATATTTGGCTACCTATACTGGATTTGGTGTGTGCGTCTATTGAAAATTTACAATGGTTTTCGCAAAAAACAAAATTTACAATGGGGGAGGTACTTAGTATTCATGCCAGTGAAAATGTTGTAACCATGACTGAAAAATAAAATAAAGCACACTTATGAATGCATTGACAGATACACTGGGCTAGGCTCCACCGAGGACCAACTCTCGGCATTTGCCACAATCGAGTACATAAAGAAAAGGTTCAGCAAATCCGGCCTCACATGATAATGCATTACTGTTATTGTTCAATGGACAAAAGCATAAGTGCAGCAAACAAAATGTGGAGGTGTTACATTGATACAATATGCCTTCTCAAATTCTCATGGAATTCACATGAGAATAAATTACTGCTACAACCTACAGTTCAATTTATTGATACCAACTCTTGTTGTCTCCAGCTGGTTATTGATGACCGCAATGGAATTACCGCCCCCCGCCGTTATTATCTTGAGATCCTGCCATTACAAGCTGGAGTTAGTTATCAAACACGAGCATGGTGATGTAGTATGACAAATCACGGATTTAAAGTTTTCTAGACTCGAGCAAATATAGTTAAGGGTTTGAAAAGATAGTTCTCCTAAACAAAACAGTGCCATGCTTGCAACTGTATAAAGGAATAATTGTGTAGCTGGATAAATACACGAGGCACTGCTTCTGGAGGGAGAAAGATTGGGAGAGAAAAGTTCCTCCACTTGTTGCTTGGGGTTTAATCTGTTCACCTAAAGACCAGGAGGGCTAATATGGTTTGGATTAATATCCAAAATTTGAAGATCCAAAATGATAATCCCTCTGTAAACTAATATAAGACCGTTTATATAGATCACTAAAGTAGAGATCTAAACGGTCTTATATTAGTTTACAGAGGGAGTAGTTTGTTGTTAAAAACATAAAATGGTGCATAAATTCCTAAATCACCAAGACATTCCTTGGATTAATATGGTTTGGGTCAGTATGGGCTTCCTCCTGAGCAAACTACCAAATACCAATTGTTCCTTATGGTGGAGAGACCGCCTGAAACTTTTGCCTCTCCACACATCTTGAGCTGATTGCTCTTTTCAGAATGGGCAATCAATTTTGCTTTGGAAAGATGACTGGAATGCGATGAGAAGAGTGTTGGCCACATCTATATTCCTTTGCCAAGGCCGGTAAAATTTCAATTCTGGACACCACTTTGGTAGAAGATTTATCTGAGCTCTTTTACTTGCCACTATCTGAGGAAGCATATTCTTAGTTTCAGGAGATGGAAAATTTGGCCTTAATTTGCAGCTATCTGACAGTCAAGATGTGTGGCAATTTTCAACAGGAGCTTTGATATAGATGTGTGGCTTATCAAATTTTGATTGGTAAGATCATGGCAATTCCAGCCGTAAGATGGCTTTGGCAACCATGCTGTCAGCTGGAGCATAAAATTATTTTTGGCTCTTAATCCACAACAGACTGAACACTAGAGTATGCTGCAACGAAATAATTTTTCATACCAGACCACCTGTGTCATGTGTGGGTTGAGGGTATTGGAAACAAGTATTGTTTGTTCTTCCACTGTCAGCTGCGCAAATTTGTTCGAATTACTCAGATCCCAATTTTAAGTGATATCCAGGAGCAACTCAACCAGATAGCTGCAAATTTCTAATCACCGGAGCTAATTGGAACCCAAAATGACTTCATTTTCAAAGGCATCGGACCAAATTTATATGCTTGCTGACGAAAATTCAAGGAAGAGATTCAGTGGGTCGTTCATAGGGCAAAGAGGCGAAAATATGAGAATTTTGAGGTCTGGGTTCATTCTTTTGCATAGCTAGCTCTCCGGGCACTTTCTGTGCCTTTGTTGTACAGTTCCTTTTCTTTTTGCCATATTCTAGCTTTAACTTGTATATAAAATTTCTCATAATTTGCTAAAAAAATACTGTGGGAAAAAATTTCTACAGGTTTTGTTAAAAAAAACAGCATCAAGTATTATGCCATATAACAAAAAAAAAGACCAAATGACCTAACATGTCAACCTTGGAAAACTAGGTTTTGCAAGTTCAACATAACCAAGCGAATTTCATAAATAAAAAGTACAGCTAACAATCCACATCAAGACCAATACGAAGCAATTATGATGTTCCAAGAGAAAAGAAAAAAAATATCTTACATGGCAAAACTTTTAACAGCACTAGGAAATATAACACGTAAATAAATGCTGCTCAGAGATTGGGATATACAACAAGCAGCATTTTCCATAGTAGATAAAGGGACAAGTAGAACCATACCCGTTTTCTCAAGACTCGGCGTCAACCATATGGGGGGCAACCAATTCATCCAAAGTTCAGGATGAACCACATTCACCGTGGTATTATTTTTAATGTTGTAAATCCCAACTTTGGGAGGGTAGTCTTTCTCGAGTATGTGTGCTCCGTCGTCATCATCAGTGAAATAGACATGGTTTGGCATCAAGTCTGGATAGTCCTTCACGCTTAAACAAGACGTTGTGCTGTTCCCAATGAACAACGCATAGTCCCCTATATCTGTTATGCTGACACACTTCTCCTTATCAAAATCAACCCTGTACACTTTGATTTCAGGGATCCACGTATGACTGTCCGGTCGTTCAGGATCGAGAATCTCCTTCCTAATGATTTGGAGGACATCTCCCCATTCTGACTGAACAATGTGACATTTTGAAACCGTCCGAATTATTCTGCGTAATAATCTTTTTTGGATGACAGATGGTCCATTTAAATTGTATGCATCGATTGCGCCTCCATGAGTAACTGCATAGAACCATCCGTCGTGGTATATACAATCTGTATAGTTAATACCCATGCTGAGCCAATTCCAGCGACTGTCTCCTACCTTGACAAACGAGAGCTGCCCGTACGGCTGGTGGATGAGCATGACGATGCATCCACCTACCGATGGATCACACGATAAGGCCGCCTTTAGATAGACCATGTGACCATACTCCTCCAAGGAAAATATGGCGGTGTCCTCGTCCACGACCCTCGGAAGCTCTCCATCATAGTAAAACACCTCATACTTTTCAAGAACCTCGTCCCCGTTTAGGATAGGTTTAACATGCTCCATGGTTGTCACTGGAGGGAGTACATTAGTGTTGCCGGTAATCGGGTTGAGCAGCATCAGGTCAGACTTGTCATCCATAGTGACTAGCCATCCGTGGGATGAGCCGAACCAGTTCTTGATGGGATGTTCAGGGAACGGCATGGTATAGGCCTTTTGCTCGGAGAGGCTGTACATGCCAAGAGCTTTTAGCCCGCCGGCGGCCTCGGTGCAATAGAGCAGACATGGTGTTTGGTGTCCAGGACAAGCACTGATGCAGCGTTGCGTGGAGTACGCCTTGTACCAGATTGAGCAAACGGCGGCGGATCGGAGGAGGTCCGGGCACTCGAGCAATTTGAGCACGTCGCACAATATGTCGATTGGTAGCTCGGACCAATCTCGATCTGGAGCTTCCATCGTGGATTGATGATGAACAAACATAGAGCAGGTAAATTAGAACGACAAGGGCAGCAATTTTTCTGACTACTTATAGATCCCTACCGCCCCGCGCCAATTCGATCTGGGAAAGAATTGGATTTGGATATACCTGATCGAGTCGGATCTGGAAACAACAGAAAACCAAGAAACCCCAAATTAATCCAGCTTGATTTGAAGGAATCCGAACACTACTACTGAATTGGAGTCCACCCCGCCATACTATCGATGGAGTTGTGGATCTGAACCCGACCTTAACTCGGCATTAGAAACAAAAATAAGGTAAAATCATTGCCGCCGAAGCCATAGCCGCTTACCTGAGACATCCAGCGGCGAGCGGCGCCGCGTTAGGCCATGCTAGGG